AGTTTAGTACCTTTAACTATGTAATTTTTGTTAATTTTGGTCACTCCGGCCAAATTATCAGCCAAATTTCGTCCGAAATTTTTTAATTGTTAAAATAATGAGGATATTTTAATTATTTCACGTCTCTTTTCTTCTTTCCAGGCGAGTCCATCCCTTAATCCCCCGTTTCTGATGAATGAAATGAACTAAGATGATCGGGAAAGGAGGCTTGATGATATTAAAGATGGGGTTTACATGGAGAAAGAACGTTAGAAACGGGAGAGAAAGGGATGGACTCGCCAGAGAAGAAGAAAAGATGCGTGAAACGACCAAAATACCCTTATTATTTTAATTATTAAAATTTTCCAGCGAAATATGACCGGCAATTTGGCCGGAGTGACCAAAATTGACAAAATTACATAGTTAAGGTACTAAATTAACATTTTTAAAAGTCAATGACTAAAATTAACAAGACCCCTATAATCAAATGACCAGAATTGAATTTTTCTCTACTTTTAATTATGTTACATTATAATATAAGTTCGGTCCATATATGGAATATTGAAATCTCACATATATGGTGAAATCAAAGTGAAAGTTATATATTCATATACATGTCATTCAAATGAATATATCCAAAAAAATATTTTAAATATTAGCTCAAAAAATATTAGTATTATCTAAACTAAATTTTAGGTGAAAATTAAAAAATTAGAAAACAGAAAACAGAGAACAGTTTTCTGTTAGTAAACAAGTTTTTTAAACAGAAAACAAATAATGAAAACTGAAAAATTAGAGAACAGTTTTCTGTTAGTGAACGGACCCCAAGCCTTCCAATGAAGTCCACGGACAGTATGGACACGTGTGTGGATCAAGTTGTAAATTATCAAGTATACTGCTAGAGGGTTAGACTAGACGATTGTTGTAAAATGGACTAGGGTTCATATTACATTGTAAACTAGTCTAAAAATTATGGGTCAGCAATTGACACATTTTGTACTTATAGTTAATCGTTTTTGTCTCTGTAAACAAATTGAAATTACATCACATGGTAATTATAGACACATAACATAATAATTACAAACAAAAAAATTGTTATTTGTAAGTACAAAATATATTAACTGCAGACACATAACATGTTAACATATTTTGTACCTGCAGTTAACAATTATATTTATGTGTTTGTAGTTATCATATTATGCGTCTGCATTATCATGTTATGTGCCTAATTGTTTACAAGTACAGAATTGTTAACTGCAAGGAAAGAATGTGTTAACTGCATGTACACAATTAAAAGTTATTTTTGAATTGCCCTAAAAAAAAGTTATTTTTGAATTAGAGATCACAATGCAAGATAGACTCTGATCCATATATAATTTGTCATTCTCTCACTTTCGTAAAACTTAAAAATATATGTGAGCAACTTCAGTAACAATGAAAAGAGAAAAATGCAGAAAGCTTTATTGAGATCAGAGACATATTGAATAGCTTATTTCAATATTATGAGAAAAATGAAGTAACTAATATACTAGCTAAGATATATTGTGCTAAGCTGTAGTCTTAATGGCGTGAGATTTCTGCTTCTGCGGTTACATATCTTGTGATATGGTATGAAATGATTAGGGAAAAATTTTAATAGTATTAAAATTTATATTGTTTATTTATTAATACTTATGAGTGTTTCCTTCAAGGAATTTGCATCCATTTATAAATCCTGTCGAAAAATTCAACAAACTCTTGAAGGAGGGGAAAATCTATGATATTCACAATTTTATTGTGCAAACCTCTCGCATGAGGTTTAAGTCATGCAAACACAAGTACATTATGGAAGCGAACAATATAATGACACTTTGATTAGCGTTACAGATCAAGATGAATCCGATTTTCCCAAACACATGTTTAAACTCGAGGATTTTGAGTCGTTGAAGGCTCCTAGAGGTATGGATAGCAACCAGCTAATTGGTAACTTTTTATTACAATTTCGTTCTATATTGGGTGTTATTTGCATTTCTTTTTGATATTATAATAATTCATTCATAACTGCCAACTTAAAATGGTTTGGTTGATTTTCGCAAATTTGATTGGCCGTGTAATTTTCATTACTGAACCAAAAGTTATCCAAGTCAATCAAAATCCTCAAAGGCTGATTGATTTCGTCATTGATGATTCTTGGTATGTATTTTATTAAGATATATAGCTTATTTATTTGTATAATTATATATATAGTCTTTCTTCATTGAATATAATATTTGATGTTATAGTTTATATAATTATATATCGATTCAAATATTCTTAGTATATTATAACAAAACAATTCAGTGCATTACACGAGTAAAAAATAGTAGTTTTTCATTACAAGTTTCTTCCTAAAAAATTTAGTTTTCATGCCTTTAAGTTTTGATCCATCTTGCCGATTTGAGAAAAGATCTTGATTTATGTGCGGCATGTGCCAAGGCCCAAAAATGGCATTAGGATATCCTTTATACGGTTGCTATACGGTGGACCAGGGTCCATATGCCGAAAACAACGTCGTTTCTTTAAGTAAAGAAATGACAGCAGTTAAATTTTAACAAATCTTGTATTTTTAGTGTGTTTAGAATAAAATGAAACTACAATGTATCTAAAATGAAACTGAATAACTTGTCTTGCATATTATGTTTATATTATCAAATGAAACTGTAATTGAATTAAAATGATATAGTTTAAGTTTAGTTTAGCATTCAAAAAAATGACAGTTTAGTTGTGTTGAAATGAAACTGAATAACATGTCTCACGTATTGAGTGTATATTGTCAAATAAAACTGTAGTTGAATTGAAATGATATTTTAGTTTTGCTGAAATGAAACTACAGTATGTATAAAAAGAAACTGAATAACATGTCTCACATATTGAGTGTATATATTGTCAAATGAAACTGTAGTTATATCAAAATGATGCTTTAGTTGTGCTGTAATGAAACTACAGTGTATATAAAATGAAATTGAATAACAGTTTCATATATTTGAGTGTATGTTGTCCAATGAAATCGTAGTTGAATTAGAATTATAATTTAGTGTTGTTGTAATAAGTCTACAGTGTGTATAAAATGAAATTCCATAAAGGTCACTGTAATAAGACTATTATATGTATAATGTCAAATGAAACTGTAGTTGAAACAAAATAAAACTTTAATTGTGTTGAAATAAAACTGAATATGTTATACAAACAAAACTAACTACACAGAACGAGTACCGTTTCTTTTCAATAAAAAAATGACAACGTTTTGGATCATGGTCCACACATGTTGTGTGGACCATGTTCCACACTAAAATTTGCCTCCTTCATATTCCTTTTCGTGGGTTTGAGAATATCTCTCAAATATTAGGGATCTTCTCGTCAACCCGCCTTATTGTTAGATTTGCTTATTGCCTAGACAGTGGCGGATTCAGAAAATAATGTGAGTGGGGGCATACTTAACTCTAGATCTTACTTCTAAAAAAAATTGCATCTTTCACAATTTTGTTTGAAGAATTCGCTACGACTTTAGAATTGTCAATGAAAAAATATCAAACATCTATAATATGGTTCAAATACATTATAAATTATAATACAATAATATTTATGATAGACGACAAGATAGTTATGGGCGGAGCCAAAACTATACTTGGGTAGGGTTAAATTTTAAAACACTTTGAAATGCTATAAAATATATGAAACATAATCGATTAGATAAAATAGTTTGAATGGAAAAGATAGTATATTTATAAATACTTTACTTTTAATTTTCTTTTAGTTATATCAACTTTTAATTTTTCTAAATTAATTTTTTTTTGTTTGTTTGAATGTTACTGGCACTATTACATTGTAGTATCTGTTCATATACTTTCTCAACCTACTGAAACACAAAGAACCAATAACGCCTCGACTGAGGCTTGAACTCACAACCTTCCAAATGGAAGTCCAACCTTCTAAATTAATTTGAATACAATGAAGTATAATATAAATTTGTGGACTACATTAACTAAATGATTTACAAAAAAGTAGACTTAAAAAATATTTAATTTATTGAAGTGTTGGAAGGTTAAAAAAAAAATTAAAAAAAAAAACAAAAAAAAATTACTATAGAATTGGAATGGCTAAAATAAAATTAAAAATTTAAAAAAAAAAAAAAAAAAAAAACACTACTAATGGGAATTGATTCCATGACCTAACTATAAACAACCTAAGGTTTCTACCAACTAGGCTACTAAAACCTTTAGTAAATCTTATATTTATATTGTATAAAAGGATTAAATTAGGGAGGGGTCAGTGGGAGCAACTGCCCCCATTGTAGGTCCGCCATTGTGCCTAGACGTCTAACTATTTTCTTCCCTTTAGTATTGTTCATGCTTATTTTGATAACAACTTAATTACTGTCAAGTTTGATCTCTTTGTTAATTGGCTTTGCTATTGTAGAGATTATATTTTTCTTTTTTGCCTAGTTGCCTTTGCCTTACTGTCTACATACTTTGTAAGCATTTTGGATTTATGGCTTACTGCCTTAGCCTCTTACTATTTGTTGCATGAAGTCATAGCTTAATACCTTCATCCTTTAATGAGGAATAAATGTAATAAGACTTAATAGCCAATTTGATCCATCGACTATTAAAATTTTACCAATTTAATCATCGACTATTAAAATTACTCAATTAGTCTATAACTATGCAATTTTACTTAAAATGGTCCCTCGACTATTAAGATTTCACCACTTTAATCCTCGACTACTAAAGTTGCTAAACTTAATCCCTAATTGCATGAAGTCATAGCTTACTACTTTCATCCTTTAATGCTTATGTTAGGAATAAGTGCAATAATAGATTTTAATAGTGCAGTGTAAAATAGGATTAGAAATTAAAACCCCTTAAAATGGTCTTTGTAAATTTACATGAGTCATAAACAATCAACATTACCCATCATTGTATGAGTTTAAAGATGAATTAAAAATTGACATCAAGTAACAAGGAATGCTATAGGAGCAAATTAAAGGTTACTCAACACAGAAAGACTTATGGAGTAACGCAATCAATTACATCAACAACGAACCATTCACCATCTAAGTCGAGTAGCAACACAAGTTTTGAGCAATAAGACCTTGAGATCGAGCAACATATATTCGCTTTGTAATCAGTACAAGTTCATGGTGACATAGTTCTTTTCATCAATACAGTAAGACTACGAGACATTGTATTTAACTTTGAAAATCATGGTAATTCTCCACCCACCCCTACTTTATCATCTTGCAGCCAATTCAATGTAGCATATGTGATTGGTGCAGAATGAATGCATGATATCAATCTTCATATTCATACAGTAAAATCATGGTAATCCTCTCCAGAACTTTACAGACTCGTCAATTCCACATGAAACAAACGCTGCCTCGGTTGGAGAATGCTCAATCCAACGCGGAACACCAACATGGTTGGAGGGAAATCTACATACTATCTTTGCCGTCAGAGTATCCCACACAACAATCTGAGAGAAATATAATGTTAAGCAAGCTGTTAAATACCACCCACCCTTTGATCTGAGTTGGTGGGTGGATCGGATTAAAGAAAAGAATTGAAGAATGAAAACTAACCTCATTGCTTGATTCATCTATGGATAGTACAAATTCTTCCGTATGATTGAAAACAGCCTGCATCAACCAATTACAATATAATCACTGGCATATATTGAACCAAGCAAGTTTCCCCAACTCCAATTTCATGTTCTCTGTATTTTTTTTAGTCGTAGATATAATCTATAGATAGATAGATAGATAGATAGATTATGAAAGGATTTGCTACCCTTTAATGCTCAAGATAAGTTCAAGAACTGCAGCTCTATCTCTATCTCTATCTCTTAGTACGTTTGAAAATTTCTCACATTCACGCCACCAAAAAGTTTAATAGAATGCATGCAAAAGGGGAGAAGCTTATGTCTATTCCAATAAGGGATTCAATTCATACAAAAGCAGACACGGGTTCTAAGTCTCTATAAAATGTGTCATGTATGTTAGCTGGCTTTTACCTGGAACTGCGACTTCGTATGTACAGCTCCAAGATACTGTTTGGCCAATCTTCCTGTGCCAACTTCCCAAAGCTTCACAGAAGAGTCTTTTCCACATGAGAGGACATACCTAAAAGACTTGCAACGTTAATCTGTGCTCTGCCCAATAACATATATAAAACGGTATCCTCTGTAGTGTACCAAACATCACAATATGATTTACTGTTGCAGTGCACTCAGGAATACATTACTCAATAAAAGAGGAACTATTACTAGTGCAGGATGTAGTTAAGTTAGCAGGAACAGCTTATGACAAAGAAGCAAAAGCTGTCAAACTCGGCTCCACTTTCTCCTCTCTGCTGTCACATTATTACTTTATTTGTTATTGTATTTATTCTTTAATTTTCAAGAGAATGTTCCTACTTAAATGTATTCAAGAATCACTAGCGCTTGAGATGAAATTCGGTTTTTATCTTTCACCTTTGATCCTTTGTAAAGTTTGCACTTGTGGCTTCCACTGTTCCATGTGCAACTATGGATCGGACACACTTGCCAGATGCGTAATCCCACAACCGAATAGCACCATCTTTGGATGCTGTTACAAACATGCCACCGCTTCGTGAATATCTAACCTGATAAACAGAGAAAACGATCAAGTAATCAACTTTTATGACGTAAAGCCTATCAAAATGCAGACTCGATCTACCTGATTTATGGCTCCATTAACAATAGGGTCTTGGAAATTTAATGGCATGTGACATTGAAAAGTATTGAAGTCATATAAATGAGGGACGGAGTGAACAGTTCCTGTAAGTACCCTTGTCAGATGCCAATTTAAGAAAAATCAGTAATTTAATGCAGCAATTTAGCAATTAAGAGTGAGTCTAAGACTCAGTATTCTGTACTTAACGTCTATGAGGGAGGGGAAACACTACAGAATGTTTTAGCCACTCTAAATTAGTTTGGAACAATTTTAGTCCGACTCTAACACTACATCTGAAACATAATAAGAAAACAGTATATTTTTACTCTAATTTACTTTTTCTGCAGAAGGCATCTAAAGACCAGTTTTTCAGCTTGATGATCTTTAAAGTTCCTAGCATCAGTAAAAGTCACAGTTCACTTTGAGTTTCTTCTATTTGTTAAAACTTTAAGCACACAAAACCCATTTTTCAATGCATCTTATAAAATTTCTTAGTCGTCTAGAGCAAAGAGTTAAAAGAAAAAGTCAAGTACAACATACCATATTTCCTAAGGAATATGTGGTTCTCTAAGAGTAATTTATGAGTTGAAAGCAAACATCAAGTGTAACGCACCGTATTTTAACAGATCGAATCGAAGATTAAAGAATATGTGATTTTCCAAGAGTAATTGATTTCAAAGATAGACAGAGGTCAGCTTGAAAATTATGGGAGCAGCATCACTAGCTCTAGAAAAGCCTAAGAATTGTTCATAATTTAATTCCAAGAGAACTTTACTTGCCTGCCAGAAGACAATCTCCAGAAGGGTGAATTGACAAAGACGTTACATCCTGAGTATCCTGACAAAATATGAAATTTGAACCTTTATGAAAAGGACTGTAATACCACAAATAAAAATCTATTTCCTAAGAATTTCCTTTAAAATTGATGATTGAATTGGACAAGGAGTCGAAGAGACCTTAAGAATTTCAACTGCTCCCCTTGATACCGGTTCTGAAAAATCAAAGAATCTGCAAGAAAGAAAGCACTTTACTGCATAAACAATGGGAGATTCATTTTATTGATAGCAAGAAGTCTGATTACAATTAAATAATACTTCCTCTATTCCACCTTAATTGTCCCATGTAGTTTCATATTCTTATGTTTAAATTTTGAAATAAAAAATAGATATTAAGAAACTACATATTAAGTACTATTTGTCTCATGAATTATAACTCAAGATTTTCAAGAAATATTCTTTAAAAAAATTGGTTAATTCAGACACTTGAAGCTTGAGAAGTGAAACGGGACAGCCTTATCGGGACAGTGGGAATCAATAATTGGAAAATAAAACAGTCTAGAACTCTAGAAGGATATACTGAAAAACAAGCACATACTTGATGGTGCGATCTTTTGCCCCAGATACCACAACAGCATGTTTAGGATGAAAATCTAAATCATTAATTGACTGCAGATGTATAAAAAAAAACCGTAGGTAAGCAGGGGAATTCCAACTCCACAATCACTGGGAGATATGATAACACAAGAACATCATAATCGGAAAAGCAAATTATTTTATCCACCATGAATATTAACAAATATTCACTTGTATTAAAGCCAGTTCCACGCATATCAAATTGTTATTAGAAAAGTTCAACCACTCAGAGTCTCAAAGCATTCAGCATACCACTCCTGCATCATGCAGCAGGGAAGAACGCTCTTCACACCAATCACATGTAAATTTAATGATTGATTATAGTCAACCAAAATGTTAAACACTGAAACTAAATATAATTTTCTGATTCAAACTCGGAGAGCATAATTGCATAAATAAGGATAATTTGGGGAAATACAAAAAGAAAATCATAGGGAAACTAGCAATCATTGCTCCATGACAGTGAACATCATCTAAATTGCAATGAAAATATTACTTGCGTATGATCATAGAATGTTCGTATAACTGGCCTCACTGAGCCATCTCTTGAGTCTGACTGCAACATTTGTTTGACTTTTAAAACCTTCACAAGAAGATTGCAGCTCATAAGCACCAAAATAAATAAATAAATGACAAAAGAAAAAGATGATAAAAAGAACAAAAGAGAACAATACGTCAAAAAGTTTGATTGTCACATCTGTACTTGGGGTAGCAAGAAACCTTCCACCAGAACTAAATCTTGCACATCTAGCAATACTCTACAATAAATTATTCTGTTAGATATAATTGCATTAAGCAAGTTTTCAATTAAATTAAGCAGTAAAAACAAAGACGAAGCCAATTTTACAAACCAAAATTTGCTGAAGGTACAACCTTGTGCTCAGAAATATATCGAGTTTCATGTTTTGGAAATTTTTTTGATGAGCCTTTGATGTCAAGTGCAGTACTGTTTAGGAAGTTGAACACATTATCAGCTATCTTAACCATACACAGTTATTTAGCAATAATGCATACTACTTTTATAGATCAAATTATCAGCTCCAAAAAAAATAAATAAATAAATAAACAACAACAACAACAACAAAAAGAGTTAATTACATGTTTGGTCCTAGACTTATACGTGTCAGTCCACTTTTAGTCCTTTTTTCCAAAACATCCCACTTTGGTCTTAGTATTATTGTGGCATGAACGTTTTTGGTCCTCCGTCAACAAAACTGTTTAAATGGCATTAAATACCAAGGCATTGCGGTCTACTCAGTTCTAAGTGTTAATTTCTTTTCCTTTTTTGGTCCTAGATTTATATGTTTCATTCCACTTTTAGTCCTTTTTTTTTCCTAGAACATCCCCGTTGGTCCTAGACTCCTAGTATTATTGTATCATGACATTTTTGGTCCTCCGTCAACAAATATGTTTAAATGACATTATTAATCACTCAAAATCTTCCTTTTTTCTTCTTGGTAATAGAACATACAAAGGTTGAGACATCTTCAAAAAACAATATACACTCATTATACATTCATTGATAACATAAATAATTCATAATTCATTTATAGCATAATAAAGCAAAAACTGTTACCAATACATAAGTTTACTGCAAAACCCAAAAGAATATGCAATTGAAAAAGCCACAAGTCTACTTCATGACAAACCTTAAGCCTAGTGCATAAGTCTACTTCATAAAAATCCACAATACCTCCAAAGCCCCCTTAACAATAAACTAATTTATAATGTTTTTGAAGTAAACTTGTGGATTATTGTGAAGTAATCTTGTGAATTTTTATGAAGTAGACTTGCGCCCTTTTGTTCAACCAATAAAACAAAACAAAAACAAAAAAAAAAACAAAAAAAAAAAGCGTACAAAGAAACATTTCATGGCCAGTCCAAAAGATTGTAAGATACTACAGCTTGGTGGAAATTATTACCTAAAAAAGCTAAAATCAGCAGAAATTGCCCGAGGAGCTGGTATTGAGCCATATCCAGCAGCTGAAGAAACTCTTCTCAACGCTTCATCATTCTCAGCTGCAAAACCCTGTTAACCACTTAGAACTTCAAGATGTCAATTTTGTTATCTATTTTCATACTCTGAAGTAGGATTAAAAAAACCATGAGATGTAACAATGGCAACCATTAATAAACAATATATACAATATACCTTTGCAACCAATTCAAGTAACTTATTAGGAGGATCTCCAACAGGCAATGGTGTCATTGTAGCTGATGCAACGACTCCTGCGGCCTGAAAACAAGTATTTTAGATCTCAACCTTCAACCAACAGCTTTAGTTGAGAAAACACAGAAACAAGACTTATAGAGCCATGTGCAAATAACTATCTTCCCAGAATATGTTGGGAACAAATGAGTCCACTCCTAAAGCAAATCTAGATTTTATCCTAAAGTAAAAATAAATTTTACCATGTAGAACAGAAAGTTTTTAATTTACTTTTATCAGTTATCTGATGCTATAGTATTATATCTCTTTTAGCTTCCTAATTTATAACAGGAATTTGTTCCCTACTTTACATGTAATAAATTTTAATAGAGAAATTAGTCACTTATTCCCATTTTTCAATTGTTAGGTAATTTTGCCCCATTTAGGCGGCGTCCTTTGTCAATAAATTGTTGTATCCCTTTCCATAGAAGTAGTATGAATAAGAATATTTTCCAGCAGCAAGTTTGGAACCTCATGGGTGACAATTTCTTAGGGTTGTTGTGGTATGTCCAAATGTACATCAAGGGGCACCGAAGATTTGGAACCTCATGGGTAATAAGAAGAAGCCAAATGAAGATGAAAAGAATCACTACAAAAAGACGGTAGAAGTTGATCAAGTTTTTAAGTTTTACTTAGAGGCTGTTTGGTAGGCAGGAATGTTTTCCTGGCAATTTGAAAGGTGAGTAAGTTATCTCCATGTTTGGTTGTGCTTTGACTTGGAAAAGTTTGAGTAGACTAAGAATGTGATTCCTTGTGTGGCTGCACATGTTTTTGTGTGTATACAGTATACCTATCAATTTTCTATCCAATTAGTAATATTCAAAAGCTTTAAAATGTGTTTTCATTCACTCTGCTCCAAAATGAAAACAGGTTGAACTTAGAAGCTCCAACTTATGGTTCTTCAAAGTTCAAACGCTCAAAGAAAGTAATTCAACTCTTCTCCCTAGTCCTTACCTCAGCTTCACAAACTGAAATATGGTTATACTGATTTTTCTGATTAAAATCTCCCTAAGTGGCTTCTAAAGAAGTCCATTCATTTCAAAATGCCCTATTTCTAAATAGGTATCGAATCAGAAACCGTTGAACAACCATAGGGCTTTTACTTGTAGGGTTTCTAACCTGTTTTTTTTTTTAAAGAACTATTCAGGAAGCATTTGTGTGATCCAAATTGGAGATTAGCAGTGTCAGAAGAGTTGAATGCTCAAAGGAAAGAGGTTAGAATGGTAGAAAATCACTACAAATCACAACTAGATTACATAAGTCTCAAACTGTCAATCAAGTTCAACTCCATCATATGTGCTTTTAAAGACATTTTGGAGGTTCCTATTTTAGCATGAAGGATGGGAGTTTACAATGTTTACATGATCACATTCTAAAATTCTTCAAATTATATTATTTCTCCACTAAAATAACAATATTTGCAAAAATTTCCACTGTACCACAAATACCAAGCATCACTAAAGATACAATATCAAATATACCAAACAACACTGAAGGCACAAAAGAAATTAAACTTTCTCAAGAACCACAAAGAAAGAACCTGATGGAGATTGTTGTCACGAAGATAAGAAACAATAAGAGCATTGACATTATTACGAAGCACCGTTTCCTCCGACTGCATTTGATCCAAGCTACTGAAATTGCTAATGTTGCTACTATCCATTTTCTTTAAAAGAAATTTCTAATTCTTGGTTTTGTTCCAAGGAGCAAAACCCCCTGATCTTGATTTTCACAAACTTTTCCCCTCTTTGGGTTCTTATTCAAAGTGCATCCTAAAGCAAGTTTGTTTAAAAAACAACTGAGATAGAGAACAATCTGTAATGCACTCAAAGAAAGAACAGAAATCCCAGAGGAAAATTGAGAAAGAAAGAAAGAAAGAAAGAAGCAGAAGTTAGGATTTATAGGGAGAAGAAAGAAATGTATATTTGAATTATTTCTCAACATAAAATCCAATCCTTACAATCCACTTCCATAACTGACTCCCCAAAACCCCAACTCCATTCAGCCAAACAAAATATAAACAGAATACCGAAAACAACCGTTTGCCTTGGAACGACGTCGTCGTCTGAATCTATGATCAACGCCCTCCAACTGCTGTTTCATGCGACGTCGTTTCTGTTCAGCTCGTTCCTTTGGCAGTTCAGCCTCCTCCTTCTTCCTTCCTTCCTTGTGCTTTCTTAAGCTTCCTCCTCTCCTTCTTCTTCTTCTCATTTGGCTTACATAAACTAAGACTGTATTCAAATCCCAGAAAATTGATTTATTTTATGTCTACCATGGAAATCCATTGTTCTGAAGCAATGTAAGCTTGTACACTGAAACTCTCTACCGCCGCCATTTTTCTTGTAGTTGTGGACTCTAAAGCGCGCGTTCGCGAAATTACATAAAAACCTATATACGTGGATCACTCTGAAAGACTGAAACGATTAAATTCAAAATTACATACCATGTAATTATTATGATTGGATTTTGTCTAATTTAATGATTAATTGTACACTTTTAAAGTTCAATAATTCACTTACATAAAAGTATAAGTTTAGTGTCATACTTGACACTTTCTCTAAATCTAAATTTAAAAAAAAAAAAAAAATTATAAGAATGAATTGTACATTACGTTACAAATAAGATATTCTAGATCCAAAGTGTATGTACAATACTCGAGGTGATAACCTAAATAATAAATAAATATTAAGGGTCGCTCAAATAATATTGACATTAGCCATTTTGGGCAAGTCATTTTAAAATAGAGAGTTTTTCTATGGCAAAAACGTTAACAAGATGATCATGAGAATGAGGAAGCCAACACGTCAAAAATAGCAAATGAATTATAATGCACATCCATCTTAAAAAGTGATACCACATACACAGCTGCTGGGAATTGAATTCTGATATTTGCATAAAAAGTTAAGACAATACATCACTAAACTAGTTAGTGTAATGTACCTAAGAATGATGTTTAAATAGGAAACATGAGACCCCTTATATAGTGTCTAGGCCTTCCATCATTAGCTGAAAAGTGTGTAGCAAAATGATCTTTATATGAGAGGACCTCCATCATGACCCCTCCTTGAGGCTTAATTCCCAAAATGATCTTTATATGAGAGGATGGAATTACTTTTATAAGCGCAACTTCTGGTGCTTCTAATTGGTAACAAGGAAATGGAGAAGTATTATTAGCAGTGTGTAGCTATCATCATCTCGTGAATTCCGAATGCACTCAAGGTATTTGATGTATAGCCTCAGAGACCTGGAAATCTGACATTATTCAACAATCTTCTGGAGTCCAATTTCAGTGTATCTGTATGCTTCTATTATTAATTTTATTTTATACTTTTTGATATCGAACTGAAATTGATTGAAGAACTGATCATGGTTGATGAACAGTTTGATTGATATGTAGGCTGGCACACCGGTGACCTGTCAGGATTGCATTTACCGTGTTAGAAACTTAGCAACTAGCCACAATCTTAAGCAAAGGGCATTTGAAGTTTTGACTAATTCAAGAGAGGTGACTGTTTACAATGGCTGGTTCCCACCTGCACCTGCCTACATGAATTTTTACTTAGATGCGTTACAGGTGAAAATTTTCATTTTCCCTGAGCATATGTTTAATTCAACCATGGTGTTAATACCTTTGACAAGATATACTATTCCTTTCCTAGAGTTGAAAATGTCAATGTTGAATTGGAGAATAGACTCAATATTAACCTGCTTTAAAAGTTACGAGAATGAGATATTTCATAGGAGCTAGCTCCATGACTCCATTGTTATTTGAAGATTTCAAATGTATGCATTTCAGGTTTAATGTGATGACAATGTAGTAGTTGGTGGGTCAATATCTTTGATAAAGGCATAATTGTCAAATTAAACTGTGGAAGCATAAAGAGAAAAAAAGGGAGAGTTTAAAATCTAAAATTGCACCTTACTGCATTTCAAATGAAGCTTCCTCGTTTATTATCCTGGACCGCATGATCTATGGATTTTTTTTCCAACTAATTGTGGTATTAAATATCTATATTCATGTGATGGAAATTATGATCATATTAGACTATGGAAATTGACCAAGTCAATTATGTAAAGTCTCCTCTTTTATTCTTCTCTTTTCTGATAGTGGTGGATAGGAATTTGACTATTCAGTGGGAGTGGGAATTAAGGGTAAAAACATCAAAATCTGCTTTCTGTGTGGTCCCAACTATTTGGAAACTCAACATGTGTGGTTCATTATCAATCTTAATATTTGCTTTCATATTGTCTTTTCTGCTCATTTTCTCATCTAACACTTTTATTAAACAATTAAAAATGAACTATTATATTGTTTCTATTAGTCTTAATTCAATGTTCATTTAACAATGAATTGTTATGCATCAGAATGAATATTGTTGCTAGTATTTAAAAGAATAAAAGAAGGGACACGTGCATTTACATAACTGGACAATGTCAATTTCTGAAGTCTTCTCATTTGACTTGTAACAGGAAATGAGGAAAATAAAAGTATTACAGTATATGCTCCATAAAAATGAATCTTATCTACTTTCCTTCTCTATCTCAAGTTTTGTTTTGTTTTCTGTATTGAACCTTACTTTCTCTTGCAATGGTGTACACACCTTTTTACTTTCTTCTCTTTGTGCTTCTTTTTCCATTCCACACTTTTGCTCAAAACAATAGTACTATAGCTGCTGGCAGCACTCTTACTGCAACAGATAACACCAAACCATGGCTCTCACCTTCTGGTGAGTTTGCATGTGGATTCTCACAAATTCAAGGCACAAATCAGTTCTTGGTTTGCATATGGTATGCAAAAATAAATGAGCGTACCATAGTTTGGCATGCAAATACTACTTCTCCGGTGCCACAAGGATCAACACTGCGGCTGGATGCTGAATTTGGGCTGATTCTTCGTGATCCTCAGGGCAATAGATTATGGACAACTGATGGCTTTGTTGATAAAGTTGCTTATGGTTTCTTGAATGATACAGGAAAATTTGTCCTTTCCAGAAATGATTCTAGAGTGCTGTGGGATACCTTTGCACACCCAACCGATACTTTATTGCCAACTCAAGAGATGGAGATTGGCAGCATGCTCATCTCTCGACGCTCTGAAGCCAATTTTTCACTTGGTAGGTTCTATCTTCGGATGCCTGATAATGGGAATTTGGTGCTTTCATCAAAAATGGTTTCAACCAATTCAGACTACGATGCTGATTACTACAATAGTCAGACTTCTGATACTTCAAATCCGACAAATTCTGGCTATAAAGTGATATTTAGTGAGAAAGGCTCAGTTTCTATACTAAAAAGAAACAACGCAACACAAGAGCTTACTCCACGGTCTGTCTCATCAGTTACGGAAAATTATCTGAGACTAACTCTAAACTTTGATGGAGTGCTCACTCTGTATCGTTATCCCAAGGGTTCTGCTGGTAACCTATCTTGGATTCCTCTTTGGTCTCAGCCGGATAATATTTGTACGAAAATTACTGGCGATAAAGGCAGTGGGGCTTGTGGGTACAACAGTGTGTGCTCAATTGATGCCAACCAGAGACCATCTTGTAATTGCCCTCGGGGTTATTCCCTGCTTGATCCAAGTGACCAGTATGGAAGCTGCCAACCAAATTATGTTCAGACTTGTGGGAAACCTGCGAATGGTTCATCTGAAGAGCTGTTTAGTTTAATTGAGATAACAGACACAGATTGGCCACTATCAGACTTTGAGCAGATTAATCCTTCCAACAAAGATGACTGCAGAACGGCTTGTTTGAATGATTGTTTGTGTGCTGTTGCAATTTTCAGAAGCAATACCTGCTGGAAGAAGAAGTTGCCACTGTCGAATGGGCGCATAGACACCACTCTAGATGCAACAGCTTTCATCAAAGTGGGGAAAGGTGATGCTCCTCCTTTGAGTCCTGATCCGTGGAGAGAATTTCCAGAGAGGAAGAAGGATCAAGGAAATTTGATCCTTGCGGGTTCAGTGCTCTTGGGAAGCTCTGTATTTGTAAATGTTCTACTCCTTACTGCACTTCTTTTTGGATTCTTCTTCATTTACAAGAAGAAAATCAAGGCATTTGCCCCTACTAATCTTTCTGTGCCATCAAATCTGCAATACTTTTCATATCAATGTCTTGCAGAAGCTACAAACCAGTTTAAGGAAGAAGTAGGCCGAGGTGCTTTTGGAATTGTGTATAAAGGGGAAATGCCAGTGGGTTCCGGAAACATTGTTGCTGTGAAGAAGTTAGATCGAGTAGCTCATGATACAGACAAGGAGTTCAAGACGGAAGTAAATGTGATTGGCCAAACACATCACAAAAATTTGGTCCGGCTGCTCGGGTATTGTGATGAGGGGCAGCATCGGATGCTGGTTTATGAGTACATGCCAAATGGCACTCTAGCAACTTTCCTTTTCAATGACCTCAAGCCCAGTTGGAGCCAGAGGACCAAAATTGCCTTGGGGGTTGCTCATGGCCTCACCTACCTACATGAAGAATGCAGCACTCAGATCATTCACTGTGATATAAAGCCTCAGAATATACTTCTTGATGATTACTATGCTGCTCGGATCTCAGATTTTGGATTGGCAAAACTTTTGATGATGAACCAGAGCCGGACATATACTAATATTAGGGGAACAAAAGGCTATGTTGCTCCCGAGTGGTTCAGAAACAACCAAGTCACAGTGAAGGTCGATGTTTACAGCTTTGGAGTGTTGCTGATGGAAATCATAGCATGCCGGAGAAGCCTGGAGGACGAAGAAATATGTGGAGCAGATAAAGCTGTTCTTGCTGATTGGTTCACGGACTGTTTTCATGAGAAGAGATTGGAGTTATTAGTTGAAGATGACGCAGAGGCCTTGTGTGATATGGAGACGCTGAAACGATTTGTAATGACTGCGATCTGGTGCATTCAAGAAGATGCTTCTCTGAGGCCAACAATGAAGAGGGTCAGCCAAATGCTTGAAGGTGCAGTTGAAGTTCTTGTGCCTCCAGTTCCTTATCCTTTAACCAGTATCACTACTTATGTTTCACTTGAATAACTCTTTTATTGCCTTCATATATTCATAAAACCATGCCACTCTGATTGTCTATTCTCTTTAGGCATTTCACTTGCTGCTTAATTGTAGTAATTTCCCATAGATTGCATAAAAATGTATTGATAGAATATAATTGCTCACACAATACTACTTTTCTTTCCTATATGTTAAATGTTTTAAGTTTATTCGCAACGTTGTCTCAATTACACTTTGAAAAATCAATATATGTGGTTCTTTAAGAATCCTAATGTTATGTCCCAATTATTCATAGAATAAATTTCATAAAATCATTGTCAAATCCAAATGCTCACAAAATACTATTTGATGGATATATTATAAGTTTGACTCGAACCGATCCGAGAGCACGGAGTAAGAACGGGCCCCTTGGGCGACGCTACGTGCCCGAGCTAGGTGCCTCGGTAGGAGGTCGGTTCAGGACCTCGGCAGGCGACCTCGGACGCGGACGCCGGGAGGTCGGCATTTTTTGTGCGTCGGCCGGAACATCTACTCTCCTTCGCTGACGATCACTCGCAACTCAGAGAGTGGGGGACTGATGATGGATATATTACGAATAGTTCCGAACCGACCTGAGAGCATGGAGCAAGAACGAACCCCGGGACGGCGCTACGTGCCCCGTTCATCCACCTCGGCACAAGGCCTCGGCAGGCGACTTAGAACAACCCTCGGCACGATGCTTCGGCGGGCGCCTCAGCACGAGACCCCGGCAAGAGACCTCGGTACGAGGTCGGCATCGGACCTTGGCACGGATCTTGAGGCGACGCTACGTGCCCCGTCCGTCCACCTCGGCACAAGGTCTCGATAGGCGTCTCAGCACAAGACCTTGGCAGGAGGTCGGCAAGAGGTTGGCAGGAGGTCGACAGGCGGCCCCGACAGCCGACCTCGGCCGCGTTGCTCGGTCTCCGGACCGGGCGCGATCAAAGCGTGTATAACCGCCTCCCCCGATTCAGGGGGGCGGTTGAGAGGCCCACGGATTGTATAAAATGCCCTCCCTCTGTCCAATTATAACACATTCTACTTATCTTACATACTTTGTCCTAACAAATCACTGTAATAGCCTATTTACGGCATCTAATACAATATACGATCTTCACGGCCTTTACAACATCATTCTATTTATTTCCTATTCGTGTTCTTATATGGGTTTAATAATTCGGACCACCCCGAATTAATTAAATCCATCACTATTCTTTTCTTCTTCTTCTTCTTCTTTTAAATAATTTTCTACATGCTTTCTTGGTATTTGCATTATGCAAAAATGACTAATAAAGATGATCCAAAGATAGAAAAGTTGGGGGAGGCAGGGCGGCAATCATTATGAAACGTTATGTTGTCGAATCGTGTCCACCTTGTATATTCATAATTTTTTTATATTGTAGATTCATACAATTATGAAATATATTTGTAAAATTATGAACATATAGCTATATAATTATGGATCTACAGTATAGAAATTATGAATATAGAACCGTGGTCACCTTGCAAGGTGGGTTCGTTTCCACGGCATAATTTGCCAATCATTATTATGTGGACCATGGTCCATACAAGTTGTGTGAACCATATTTTGTATATTGTAAAATAATGTACATTCAGTATAAAAATAATGTACATTTAGCATATTAAAAATGTACATTATATTCAGAGAATGTACATTATTTGAGTACTGACAGTACATTATTTTATATAATGTACATTCAGTACATAAATAATGTACATTTAGTATATTAAAAATGTACTTTTTGTTATGGTCCACACAACACTGTGTGGATCATGGTCCACACAATAATTTACCGGAATAGCAGATTTTGGGTTGTGCAATAGCACAGGACCTCAAATTTTAAGGGTTCAATCTTTAATTTTTACTTTGTTAGTTAAGACATTAAAAAGAAATAAAATTGCAATTAATCTTAAAAGATTCCATGGAGAAATAGTAAAAACACATTTTTATATTGTTTCATTCAGGAGATTGGAGGTTCAAATCTTGTCCGCTACTCCACCTTCCTTTTTTTTTTTTTTTTTTTTTTTTTGGGAAAAGATACAAAATTCATCAATGAACCTAGAAAAAAAAAACAATTAGCATTTTTAGCAAGTTAACAACATGTTTGCGCTGATTGGGACATCAGGTGTATTTTTTTAAAATTATTATTATTATTATTATTATTATTATTATTATTATTATTATTATTATCCTACTAAATAAAATACGATTGGATGCCATATTTTCCTTATTTAATTTCCTAAAAATAATTTTTAAAATTTTATTTTAATAATTTCAAATAAAATACGAAATAATTATTTTAAAAATAAAAATAAAAATAAAAATAAAAATAAAAATAAAAGAAGCCTCTATGGAGACGAAGGGTCTCGGTCGCCATGGAGACGAAGGGGACCGTCTCCATTGTTGGCCAGAGACAAAGCGGTCCGACCACTTTGTCTCCATGGCTGGCCGAAGACGAGGCAGTCCCCACCGCTTCTTCTCCAGCTAGGCTATTTGTAAAAAAAAAAAAATTAATAATTATTTTATTTAAAATAAAATTTAAAAAAATATTTTTAAATACAGTAACCGACACGTCAGCTGTTCAAACATGTTGTTAACCTACTAAAAATGCTAATTGCTCTTTTTTTTCAGGTTCATGGGTATATTTGGAGCTTATTCTAGTTCGGTGGCTTAATTGCTATTCCCCAAATAGTTAAATGACTTATTTGTACCTTTTCCCTTTTTTAAAAATCCTTTTGCCTTTTTTTTTTTTTTAATTCTTTGCATACACTAGCATTTTACCACCTTATTATTATTGTTATTATTATTATTAGAAAAAAATTACGGTATTGATTTTAAAGATTGCGCTTTTGGTAGGGCCTCATTTATCTACAAGAATTGAGCCACAAAAATCTAAAAACCGGCTCTGGGGGAAGGGAAATATTGTCAATTTATATCGTGCACCAGGGCGCGCATTGCATTGTGCGCCCTGATGCAAAACGACGTCGTTACACATAACTATTTAAAAAAAATACACATAGTTGTATAAATAAATACACATAATTGTATAAACAAACACACATAACTGTATAAAAAAATACACATAATTGTATAAACAAATACACATAATCACATCAACTTCCTACCGCGCCTCCCAAAACGACGTCGTTTTGGGAGGCGCAGGGCGCACAGTGCAATGTGCGTCGAGGTGCAGGGTATATGGATTGAGAAATATTTGTGATATTGTACTATGCTTACCAATCTAATAGTTAAATGAAAAATAATTAAAAGGGAAAAGGGCCAAATAGACCATCGAACTTTAACTGAAAATTCAATTAGCCCCTCAACTTTTTAAAGGTGCAATTACATCCATCAACAATTCATTTTGATGCAATGAAGCCCAAAAATCAGTAAATGACCTGCTATCACAAGTTATTAGGGATTCGGCCACCCTCCGACGAATTTTCAGACAAAAAAAGTGACTGGCGACATTTACCGATCTGGGTTCAGGGGCGAGATTCTCCGGCTGAGGGGAATAGGTGCAACTGTAGGGGCTGAGCCACTTAGCTTTCATGTACTCGGCTTTGCGCCAAGGAGGGATGTGCATACCTTTCTTCTTCAAGCTCTGCCTCGCCGCCTCCGGCATGATCGATACGATTTGCAGAAGCCAATTGCCGTTTTCGACGAAAATCAACGGCAACAACTGTAGAACGGCGTTGTAACTTCTTGTTGACCTCGCAATCTCGAATTTCGATCAAAAATCTACATCGATCAACACTCTTTCTCCTTCCACAATCACATCAATGTATTCGTATTCTCTTACATAAAGCACAGACATTTTTCAATATTTAAAACCTAACAATCAAAAGGAATTGGAACAGTCGCTTAGCTATATGCAAGTAGTTATAGGTAGTTAGGTACCAGCAGGCATGGATGAAGTTTTCTCCCATTTGGATTGCAGATGGACGCGTTGTAGCCTAGAGTCAAGAGGCCGTCGGCGACGATTTTTCGAAGATCGTCTTTACGTTTGCAGATTTTGTTCTTCTCGATAATTTCCAAGGTGTCGGCTAAGAGATTTCTGTCCGCAACACTCTCACATTGAAGACATTCCCTAGCGAATCATTTACCGGAGAAGACCAGTGGTCGCCTTCTCCTTCTCTCACTTTTTTGTCTGAAAATTCGCAGGAGGGTGGCCGGATCCCGAATGACCTGTGATAGCAGGTCATTTACCAATTTTTGAGTTTCATTGCATCAAAATTAATTGTTAATGGGTGTAATTGCACCTTTAAAAAGTTGAAGGAGTTAATTGACTTTTCAGCTAAAGTTTAAGGGCATATTTAACCATTTTCCCCAAGTAAAATGTTTAGTTTACTCGCAACATTGTTCCATTTATTCTTTAAAAATCAATATACATGGTTGTTTAACAATTCTAATGTTATGTCATAATTATTAGGACTCTGTATTCTAGATACATTAGAATTCATTTTCTCTCTCCCTATATTATTTGGTGATAGGAAATATCCCCTTGTATATACAATTGTATATCTGCTCGGTATGTACTGTGTGTTCTTCGAGGAGCATTTCTCGACTGGAACCGACCCTGTATGGGTCGAACCCATCCCAAGTTTAGGACGGGTATCCTTTCGATCAGGGTCGTTTATCATTTATAGCGTGACCTAAGCTCGACCCTGGCCTCAGCGCTCGGACTGGATCTCCTAAACCGAACACCATTACGCTAGAGGACAAATTCCCTTTGCCTATCACCTTGCCCGATCCCACCGTAAATGGGCTTGTCAGGAGTCGACACCCACATGTACCTATTGGAAGAGCTACCGATCGCACCGGTGCATGTGGGGCACGTGACGGGCATGTCTAACGCTTGACATGTGCTCCCTCTTAATACCTATAAATATTTTTATAAACTTTTAAAGATTTTTAATAACTTTAAAAGTTTGGTGGTATTTGATCTAAACTTTTAAACACTCTTTAATAATTTACATGTATTCGATTCATATTTTTTAAAATTAAAAAGTTTTTTAAAAATTTATAAAAGTATGTCTTACAAACTTGTATAGACTCATACAAAATTAATAAAAATCTAAGGAAGTATATAAAGATTATAGGGAAAATTGTAAAAAATGTCCCTCTATAATATGTCAATTACCAATGTCACCCCTGAATTATGAGTGGTGT